GTCACTGAAGGAAGCAAGCCTCCCTGTTCGCATCAGCTGCCTGGCTGCCGGCCGCCATCTTGGCTGACAGTTAATTTGCATATCTCCCTGATTAGCCAATGGGAAGGGTAGCGGTCGTACGCCAATTACCATGTTTCTCTTTTATTAGTGTAGATAGCTAAGCTCTGTAAAGTATGAACCCTTATACAAAGCTGCTATTATTACAATTAATATACTTATTTCAAACATGGCTAATAAGTATGACTGACTTCACAGCAAGTTCAAGCCATCGGACAACAATGCACATCTGGCTGCGCCATGCCTTAGCACTGGGTGTGACTCCTTTCAAACAGTTACCATTGTCTGTAGTCTTAATATCCTTTGGTGACAAGGTGTCAAGGAAGACTGGCCAGGAGTAGAAAACATTTAAGAGATATATTACAAAATAGAATTCATGCCACTGAACAGTAGGTATTATGACTGGACAAGATGCTTCCAGGTACCTTAGGAGGAACCAGGAACATGATATTCTCATCATGAAGGTGCTGCTTACCATGATAATCCTTATATAATGGGTTGGTTTCTCTGTTAGAACCAATAAACGACTCCAGATGAATGACTGTATCTGACAAGTTTGTAATACGAGCAATAATTGCTTTATTCTGAAAAACAAGCAAACAAAAATCTCATGTTATGTTAAAAAAAATAACCTGTATACAGTGCCATTAAGCCATCTCAATGACAAATTGTAGAGGAGACAGACTAACAACAAAAACTGGATGAAAGTATGTCCTTAATTGAAAATTCCATGAAGAGATGTAAATATTCTATTTTAAATCAAAGCACTGAGGGGGGACATACTTTAGTTTTGGTAGAAAATATAAATTAATTACTTTTCTCTTATTTTAAGAGGCAAGGATATCTTTATGCTCATATACTATTATTTTTCAAATTACATTAGGCATTGGCCATTGGAAAATGTGACGGACATCAGGATTCAAGAGCAGTTGACAGTATAGTAACTGTAGAAGGCCCTACTGTCATCTGTCAAATGGGACCAGATCCCAGTCCGGAACCAGCCGAGGTCATCTCTCATATTAGAAACAGGGAAGGATCCAGCTAAAAGGCTGCAGCATGGCTAGCTCTGGAGTTTTCTGTTTTCTCTTTCCAGATGCTGCTATTTGGCTCTGGTATGGTGATAAAGGCAAAGAAAAGATGGTAGGCAACTAGCACTAGACTAGTAGCCTACCCTTCCCTTTCCAACACACTTTGATATGATACAAAAGTATTATTAAACAATACATCCTTGCCCTAGCCGGTTTGGCTCGGTGGATAGAGCGCTGGCCTGCGGACTGAAGGGTCCCAGGTTCGATTCCGGTCAAGGGCATGTACCTTGGTTGCGGGCACATCTCCAGTGTGGGTTGTGCAGGAGGCGGCTAATCAATGTTTCTCTCTCATCATTGATGTTTCTCTCTCTCTCTCTCTCTCTCTGTCTCTCTCTCTCTCCCTCTCCCTTCCTCTCTGAAATCAATAAAGATTTTTTTAAAAGTTTTAATTTTATGTATTACAATTGCTTTTGAATTAGGCATCAAAGTGACTTTTCCTAAAGTCAGAGGTGTTGGCATCAGTCCTTCAAAAATCAATAAAATATATTTTAAAAAAAACAAAAACAATACATCCTTAAAAAGTTATATTTTAAGTAGCAAAAGTTCTAAAATACCCAGAATTTCATAGCTTTACAATATAATCATTAAATATCTTATAGATTTTCTTGAATAATTTTATTTGATGGAAAGCCCTCATTTCTTTTCATTTGACAGGCTGGTAGGTCAGAAAACTGTTGTATAAGCTTTAACATCCTAGAAAAAGAAATTGTTATGAAGAGCTCTATAAGTTTAAAAAAAGTATTGTTTGTAAAATTTTATCATTTGGAAACTTCCACTTTACACACTGGTAATGCCCACCAGTTTAAAACTAACCTTTATAAAAAGGATGAGAAATGTAAAACAGTCAAGAACATTTATTAGTCAGAGGCCATGTGCCCTATTAGAGAAAAGTCCAAATATAGTCAAAGATGTTCACTTTCTGAAAATGTGATTGACTACAGAGTTTATTGGTATTCCTCTGCTTCTTAAGTCCTCTTATGAAGATGGTATAAGAAAGAAAAATAAAAGAGGGCTGATAGATGTTACCAGACTCAGCATAAAGTACATAGTAGCCCCTGTCACTAAACATTATGTTGAAACTAGAGGCCCAGTGCATGAATTCTTGCACAGGTGGGGTCCCTTTGGGTGGCCTACAGGAATTGGGCTGAAACCCACAGTCTAACGCCACCTGCAGCTCCTACCTGCCGCTCCCACTCATTCTGGCCCCACTGTGCCTGCCGCAGGCTCGCACCCAATCAGTCCCTGATTGGGAGGCTCCCGCTGCCACAGCAGTGCTCATCAGCCATGTGCCCTGCGTCTGGTGCTCTCCCAAGGGGAGTGGCCTGCAGGATCAGGTTGAAACCAGCTCTCTGACATCCCCTGAGGGGTCCCAGATTGCAAGAGGGCACAGGCCAGGCTGAGGGACCCCACTGGTGCACAATCAGGCCAGGGGGGGACCGCAGGAGGGCTCTAGGACATGTCTGGCCCATCTCACTCAGTCCTGATTGGCTGGACCCCAGCAGCAAGCTAACCTACCAGTTGGAGCATCTGCCCCCTGGTGGTCAGTGCACGTCATAGCGAGCAGTTGAGCAGCATTAGCATATCATTAGTATATTATGCTTTGATTGGTTGTTCGGTTGTTCTGCTGTTCGGTCTATTTGCATATTACCTTTTAATTATATAGGATGACTGTTTAACTCACACCTAGGGTTGTACTTGAAACTCCCCCATAGCTAGAAATGTGTGCTACATAAAGGATATTTCAGCCTATGAATTAGTGTCCTTAAAAGGAAGAAGTGAAAATAGTTATTCTTCATTGCCTTTAATACTTTCAATGACATGAGCACCAAGTATAGAAAAAAACAAAATTTGGAAATGCCTGTTTTTCCTAAAGCAATTTTTCACTCAATGGTGAGAAAATAATCAGATTGATTCCTTATTTTCAATTCTGTGTCACAAGGGATGGTCTTACTCCAGGAATAACAGGGCCTTCAGAACATGCTCCTCTCAATATTTCTTTAGCCAAAGACCATTAAATCAAACCCATCCAGGTTGGGTTTCAGCCAGTTATTCTTCACCCAAACAGAAATGTCTGCCAGACATTCCAACAGCTGGGAGACAGTTCACAATGAGTCAACTTGAAAATGATTCATTGTACTGAGTACTGAACAATGTTGGGGTGGGGGTGGGGTGTGGCTGGGTTGGTTGTGGAGGGTGAGAAGAGTGAGAGATGAAGAATAACCATGTGGCTCTCCCATTAAGAAGAATCTTAGATAACAACCAGCAGGCTCTTATCATTTCATTTTTAGGATAAACTCCACTGGGACGAGTGCTCCTCTCATGGACCCTCTGATGAACAAGCACTTAAAAAGGCTACTGACAAAATTTCTTAATCAAAAAGGTCAGATTTCCTTTTATTTATAAATAGAAGACTAAGCCTTTGTATCTAAATATCTGAATCTAAAATGATAAAAGCCAGTTTTTGTTAGAACTCAAATATTTAGGATTTCATTGATATAAAATCTAGGGCTTTCTCAATTATATGAATAATAGAAACTATGGGGCTTAAGGGTGGGATTCACCTTCCATTCTAGTAGTATCCTGTGTATTTACATGGTCAATCTGACATTTGTTTATTTCAAAGAGGGTTTTCTTCCTTAATTTAACCTTAAAATTTATTAGTAATCTATTTAAAACTCTGTAATATTTATCAACTTTATAGGTCTTTTTAAGGTAGTTTGTGGGACATAAAACATTAATTTCCACTTTGCAGAGGAAAACTAAAGAATTCCAAATGTAAACGATGTGTATAGCCTAGATTTCAAATCTCAAAATTTCATAATATATATTTCATTTGTTATATATATATATATAAAGTTCCCTAAGTTTATATCATAGTTATTAACTTATAAACTAAATTCTATTTTTAAAGCTTTCATGAAGTATTTGCACAAGAATAAGCTTTTAATCATACTATTAACAGAAAATAATTTATATTTAACAATGACCTTACTCCTTTCTGCACAGTAGTTTATGTGATGTGGCAAACCAGATTGTGAAAGTTGTAAAGATATCTGAAAAATGTCTATAGAATCAAAAACACTGGAAATTACATAACATCAAAGAGCCCAACTTTATTGTAATTAAAGGTATATAACCTTCCAATATTCTGTAAAAGTATGAAATATATTTGGGTATGTAAATGTATATATGTTTTAAAAAGTTAAGATTGTGTTGCAGATTACTTCTGTACCTCCAACATTCATAAAGAGTATGGTCTACTGATGTAATCATACCTTAAAACCACTGTTGTCAAAAGGTCTTTCAAATTACAATATTAATACTAAATGCTTTTTTAGATAAAAGGTGGGTGAATTTGCTTGAAAGAATCTAAAATTAATGATTGCAAAAAAGTCCTTAAAATACTAATTACAATGCATTTTAAGATGAATACACTGTGGACAATAAATTGTCATAATATAACCAGCAATGTTCAGAAAGCTTTAGCATAAGGATCTGAGCAGAGGCCTCGACACTAGAACTTCCACATTCTCATCCTAACAGATTCTAAGAGTTTTTAGGTGTTTAGCAACACACACCTCTTTGGCCTACAGTATATGTAGTTGAAAATGGAGAAGCAAAGGTATGTTCATCAATTACTTAGGCATACATTTGAATGTAACTTTTAAAAATGTTGAACTTGTTACTTTACAATTCCCAATAAAGAACATTTGAATAAGGACATTTGGGACTCACCAGTATGAGTAAATTAATGATTATACTGAATGCATGGCATAATGACATCACCCAGGCATGTACAATGACACTGCCATCCCTCCTCTTTGCCCATCTGGATGTGAAAGTCTAGGATGGCTCAAAAATCCTTCTTATATTAGACAAATCTCCCTTCGCTCCTAGGTGAAAGTTGTCAGCTCTGGATAGTAGCCAAGACATGACTAGGAGGGAAGCCAGGAGAGAAGAGAGCCAGTGTCCAGGAGTTTTAAGAGTTTGTTGGCAGACTCAAATAGCATTGTATTATGTTACATAAAAGGCTCTTAAAATGTTCTGTTGCAGTGTAATTTCTTAATTATTTAAGTTTAAATTATGTCAATGCTATTACAAATAAAAAGGCAAATCAGATTGTCCAGTTGTCTACTTTCAAGTCCAATTTCACAAAAACTTAAGATTTTGTTTTGATTGTTCCTGTTTTGGTTTCATAGTATGCCTCCTGTTTGCCTTTATAGAATGGTAACCACTTTTACTAGGACACACCCAATTCACTAAATGGATTTTAAATAAAGGAAGATTAATTTAATGCTCCCTTTCAATTAAAAACTCATTAAGCCCACACCATGAACTTTGTGAAGAGATAAAAATTCAACTACTGCCATATAAACTCCCTCTATTTTTTAATAGAATGAGTTTAGATATCTATTTAGAGCAGCCAAGTAACAATCAGAATACCCCATACTTTAAACTTTCTTTGACCTAATTATCTCAATAATATAAGATTTAGT